GCAGGATACGAGCAATCTCCAGCACGTCGGGAAGGAGGGGCGCAAGTCGACGCCCTCAGCTGGCGCGTGCAGGCTCGAGGTAGCCGCCTCCGCGCCAGGCCGGCAGAAGCTCCTCGCCCGTGGGGCGGCGATCATTGCAGGGGGCGCCGCCATGCCAGCGGACAAAACCTTCTGTCTGCCTTCAGCCGCCGACGGGGCGTTGGCGGCGGCCGCGGACAGCGAGCAGGCGGAGACGGCCATGGAAGACGACGACCGCCCGCAGCGGCCCGTCACCATCAGCGGCGAGAACGGGCAGGATTTCTGAGACCCCGACGCGCCGCTCAGCTAAGGGAGAGCTGAGGCGAGGCTCGGGGGAAATCTCTCCCCACCGGTCAGGTGAGCACCGGCGACGTATCGGGGGTCCCCGCACGCCCGACCAGAGGATGCCAGTTCAGTCCTCTGCCAGACACTGCCCCCCTCTGCTCCATCCTATATCAGTCCTGGAGTAGACCTCTCAACGCAAGGTTCTGGGGGCTAGCTAAGCATTGGCACTCAGCCACGCTGCAGCACATGCCCTGGCTTTACGCGATCGAGGACCTCAGCGAGGTCAACAGCGTACATGCTTACACAGATGGTTCTGGGGGCAGCAAAGAAGGGGGACCTACTTGGGCCTTCGCTGTTCTCGCTGGGGACCCCATGGGACGTCGAGCTCTCTTGGGATTCGAAGGAGGGACTCTTGAAGGCGACCACCCAGCTCACCTACTGGCTTTAGCCACGGAGTTACAAGGTGCCCAGTGGGCGCTTGCCTGGTTCCTGCAGCCCCCCTACGCCAGCCTCACCCACGAGGTGGACCTGACGCTCTTCTGTGATTGCTCTGAAGTTCTTAGAGTTGCCCGAGGAGGAGCCCTTGGCCAGTCTGTTCGACGGCTTCGGTCTGAACTAGACAGTCTAGCTAAGGTCGTGCAGTATTTCGCCCGCTCTACCTCTCGGGCTCACGTTGCAGGTCACTGTGGGGACCCATGGAACGAGGCCGCTGATACGATTTGTACTTTGGTTTTCATGACTAAACGCGACTTGCCCGTCCCGGACAGCACATGGAGAGCATGCCTCGACGATGGCGCCCAGTTGAGCCGGCTGTGGCTTCGATTCGAGTCCCGCCAGGTTCAATCGCAGCACCCTGCCCCTGGAGCTGAGCTGCCGCAGTTTCTGGAAACCTCTCAGGAGAGGGCGCCCGCCTTGTTGAAGTTGCTCCGCTTCGCCGCAAAGGACGCGAAGCCAGCAGATGGCGATGCCCCGTCTCAATCCACATCGCTATCAGTGGCCGCCGCCAACGTCCTCTCGCTGAACCTCCACAAGGCCCGTATAGCCAAGAAGTTCAAACCGGTTGGGCTCTGTATGTCTGGGAGATTTCGACATCTTGGCACTGTCTTTGGGAGGCAAGGCTTTTTTCTTGGTGGGGGCGGCGGGGCCCGATTTCCACGTGCAGGGACCTCGCGAGTTGCCCCTGATCACGTTGTACACGCTCAGTGTGATGATCAGGGAAAGTTTGGATGTTCTCTTTGGGTGCACACGGGTATCGAGGTCATGTCAGGTGTACTGTGTCAGCCTAAGCATGTACGAGTTCTTGCAGCACAGCCTCGATATCTGTTCGCGGCCGTGCGGGTGGAGTATTTCGCCGTTGACACTCTTGTTGCGCATGCGCCGCGCAGTAAGGCACATCCTGATGTTTAAAGCAGTGGTGGCGAGACTTGTCACATCTTCTGCATTCTCATCGCAATCCAGGTGTTGAGCTCTTGTGTCTATGTGACGCCAACGCTCGAGTTGGATCCCTTACATCACGGCGCGCGGGGTCAGTGGCAGCAGAAGTCCAGGACGTCCCCGGGCAGCAATGTCATGAGTTGCTCTTGGGATCTGACCTCTGGCTTCCATCAACTTTTCTTGCATCAGGTCAGCCGTCAGCTGCTACGTGGATCCCCCCAGTTTCCCATGGGCTCTCATCAGGGCGCAGAATCGACTATGTGGCTTGCCCATTTGGGGCGCAGGTGTCTTCTCAGCGAGTGGTGTCCGACATAGATCTCACCATCTCTATCCTGGACCAGCTTGTCGTCTCTGCTGCCCTCTCGCTGCCGCTGTCCAGTTTTCTGGAGGGCCAGCGGGCAGCGCGAGCCCAAGTGCGACGCTGCCAAGTTTCAAGGAGCTGAAGCCGTGCAGCATTTCGCGGAGCTGATGAGAGACACGCCCGCGATTCCGCTCGCTGCCTCCCCGTCTGTGCACTGCGACTTTGTCAACAGGCGCGTGCACGTCGCGATAGAGACCGAATTCCCTGTCAGACGATGTCAAACACACAGCGCGGGGTCGCGCGCTCAGGCAGCCCTGGATTTCAGATGCTATCTTCGAAATGATGGATCAGCGCACTCCACAGCTTCGGAGTTCCCGGCAGGCTGGTTTGTATTGTTTGCGTTTACGCAGGGCTCTGCTCTTTCACGCATGGGCCCAAACCTCTAGTGGCACGGCTGGGGCCTCATGGTTCTGTCACCGCGCCATGTCGTGGGGGATGTCGCCCAGGCACCCAGGGCATCCAGCTATCAAATGGGCTCCCCGGGTTCAGCAACAAGCTACCCTACTCCGTCCTGCTCTCCTGGGGCTCTACTGGCATGTACATCAATTGTTGGAGCTGCTGTTCTAGAAGCTGCCGAGGCTCGCCACCGAGGATCGCGCCAGCTCGGCCATCTCCAGACTCTGGGTCAGGGAACATGGCAGCTTTCAGGATCCCCGTAGGCCTCCACTGTATGGCCTCGAGGAGTTGCAGTGGGTCCTACCAGGCATGCCCGACCAGGTCTCGGAGGGCCCCCCCGCTCTCTGGAACTACCAGACTCGCATGTCAGGCAGATGTATCGCAGCTAGGCACTTTTCCCTGGAGGCGCGAGCAGTATTTGTCAACCGGAGCGCTGGTCTTGATGCACGCGCGCACGCTTCTGAGTTGGCTGATTAGGTGTCTTCGACGTGGGCGAGGCACGACTTAAGGGCGCGTTCAGCAAACTTCGCGTCATGGGCGCATGTTCTCGCAAGAAGCGCTCGTCCTCACCGATGCCCCTGCTAACTGTCATTGACGGTGAACCTCTCGCGTCGTGCGTTGATGTTGCGAATAAGTGGCTTCAGCACTTCGAAATGGAGGAATTTGCAGCACCCGTTCCAAAGCAGGATCTAGATTGGTTCTTCGGCCAGCTACCATCCCTGGACCCCTCAGTCACGCGCGACATAGACGTCGCGCTCGAGAATATCCCGCCCCTGGCCTGGTGGCAGCAGGCTCTCTTACATGCCGAAGATTCTGCAGAAGGACCTGATGGGATATCTGGCTCCATTGTCAAGCGATGTGCGCACATTCTAGCAGCTGTGCACCAGCCTTTTGCGGTCAAAAGCACAGTCAGAGTTTGCGAGCCAGTTCAGTGGAAGGGAGGTTTATTTGTTTTTGACTGGCGCCCCCTCCCAGGTCACCAACTACAGATCCATGTTGGGCCCTTCGCAGATAGGCAAAAGGCGCAGGTCCATCACGAGAGCCCGTGTAGTCCAAGCGCTCCCTCGTCTCGCTGGGGATAAGAAGTTAGGAGGCTCGGCTGCCAGAGGTGCGGAGTTTTCGGCCTTGGAACTTCGAAGTCAGCAGCAACTGGCGGAGGTTCCCGAACTCTCGGTGCCCTTCATTTTTATCGATGCCGCCCAGGCCTTCTACAGAGTCATCCGCGAGATGGTCTTTGCCGCGGCCGGTGATGATGAGTCTCTTGCGCGGCTTTTGAAGGGGCGCGGACATCCCGCAGACGCAGAGCACGAGCACTGGGACTTTCTCCAGACGCACGCCACTGCTCTTGAGGAGACGGGCGCGGCAGCACACAGTCGCGCCCCGTTGTCTGACGCCTACGACCAGTCATGGTTGTTTGTCCGGGGCGGGGAGGAGGTTGAATTTCCATTCTGGGGATCAGGGCCGGGGCAGCAGTACGGGGACTTAGTGCTCAACTTTATCATGGCACGCATCATGTCCTTGGCCCAGGAGCGTCTACGTGAGCTCGGCGTTTCGGTCAGATTTCCCGCATGGCTCAGCTCCTCCCTCGCGGCCTATCAGAAAGCTGAAGAAGAACCCGCGCGCTTGCCACTCCATGGAGGGAGCTTTTCTTGATGACGCACACTTCGTCGTCATGGGCCAGGCTAGGGCGCTCCTCGTGCAGGCCCCCTATTCTAGCAGCTATTATCATAGAAGCCTTTTTTTTTTTTTAGGTAGAGATCTCCGAGTCAATGCGAAACCTGGTAGATCGGCTTTAATCATTTAATTTCGAGGCCCTGGAGCCCGGGTTACCCAGCACCAGCTGGTGCGCGAGCTAAACAATACCGTGCATGTATGCACTAACACGGCGGGCAAAGGTTAAAGGTTAAAGACGGGGCCTTCAAGGCAAAGTGCAAGCACACGGACAGGGCCAGACGGGGCCCGCGTTCCCGAGAGACGCCGAGTCCCAAAAAGGCACCGCGGGCGGCGGAAGCCTGCTCCCAGGCGGAGCAGCAGGCGCGAGCCACAGCGATGCAACCTTCACTCACTCACGCGCGGACAGGCCGCCACGGCGCTCCACTCGGCGGCGTACCCTGCGGCCTCCCAGGGCTCAGCCCTCAGTGCCAGCCGCGGCGGCGAGCCCCTCATCGACGACCCCGAACTCGCCGAGGTTCCCCACTCTCGCCGCAGCTGGGCGCCGCTTGGGCGGGCTGGCGGCGGCCGCGGCAACGGCCGCGCCCGAGGGGCCTCCTCCTGGGTCCGCAGCCACTCGCGGCTCCGCAGCTGCCGCTGGGGCGCTGCCTGCACTGCTCGCCGTGGCCGAGGGGTCTGCAGCTGGCTCCGCTGCCGTGCCGAGCCACTCCAGGCACCGCTCCTGCGCGTGCTCTGGCACTGGACCCTGCGAACGCAGCGTAGGGATGCCCTCTCCCTTTTACTCTGTGCCTGGCAGCTCGTGACCCCTCTTGCCTCCTGCCTCCAGGATGGAGTCCACGTAGCCACAGGCTGCGCTGGTTCCCGCCGCCCGCGTCGGTCTTGTCGCCTGGGCCACGCTCCTTGAGGCGAGGCTTAACCCCCGAGCGGCCGCCCAGCATCATGTGGGCGCCGCACATGGAGCATGCTACTGCACTGGCCGAGAGGGCTGCCGAGCTGTTGCCTGCCGAGCGGGTGCTCTCCAGCCGTGGCCGCTCGGCCGACGGCCCCTCGCCCTTGGCCCCCTCCGCTGCCTGAGACATCTCGGCGTCAGCGAAACGCGCCTGGCGCCGCTCGGCAGCATGAGGGAGCCCTTCGCCGTCCCTGGCCTCGACGCCTTGCCCGAGGATGACGGCGCACCAGATCCAGCGCCCGAGTTCCTGCACGAACCCCGCCTGCGCCTGGTGCACGCCAACGGTCAGCTTGTCCACTGCATGCATCTGGGCCCTCCTCAAGGCAAGGCGGTCGGCGTGCTCGATGCCTCGCCTCTGGGCCTCCGTCAGGCGCCCGTCGAGCACTGCGTGCCTAGAACAGTCGACGCTGACCTCCACATAGGCTGCAGCTCGCCTGCCTGCAGCAGGCCCGCCATCATCTGGACTGCGCGGCCTGCCCTGCGAGCTGCAGGGTCCAGGTTACGCCTCCTCCTGAGCTCGCCACAGCGCATGCGCAGCCCTCGCTCTGCGCCCATGGGGAGCGCTCCTGCGCTGCGACAGGCCGCAAGCCTCCAACCGTGCAGCTCGCCGTCCGCATTGTCCGTGGCCGCGCGCCCGCTCGCCCTGCTGGCCGCGGGCCCAGCCTGGTGGATCGGGTCCAGCCTGCGCGCTCGGCGAAGCGCTCCTGCAGCTCGGACTCTGCCCTCATGTGCTCCCCACCTCGTGCTGGCGGGGTCCGAGCCTAAGTTCCTGGCCAGCAAGGTCTCGCAGAGGGTCCAGCCCAGCGACTTCCCGCGCGCCCCGAGCTGGCGTCCTGGGCTGGGGCTCGGAGCGAGGCAGGACGTCTTGGCAGCACTGAGGGGCAGGTGCTGACCGCGGAGGCGGCTCACCACTTCCAGCCCTGCTCTGTCGAACCACGCGGCCACCAGCTGCTCCGTGCCCACGGCCTGCAGCGCGATGTCGCCGTCGACGTGGCGAGCCACACCCAGCGGCCTGCCGCCCGCTGGGGCGGCGCGGAGGGCTGCCAGCCCAGGCGGCTCGGCTCTAACACGGTGGGCACTATGGTTTTACACCGCGTGCCGCAATACACTCATATCGGCACAGTACATGACATGACGGGCCCCATGGGCCACGAGCTCGCACACAGTCAACAAGGGCGTCAGCAAGCATGGCAAGCTCTACGCACGCGCGTCTTCAAGCACACGTCCATCGAGCGCGCGGCTGCCATGGTTTTTCTTGATTCGCTGGTATGTCCGGGTAGACTTTACAAGAGCAGCACCTGGGGATGCCTCACGAGAGCGCAACCACAGCATTCGCAAGAAGGGCTCATGCGGTGCTATCGAGCAGTGGCGCGTCTAAGTCGGCGAGATGACAGCGCCGCTCACAATGTTTCCGCGCTTGCTGCTGTAACTAGGCCGGCAGTGAAGCACTTACTGGCAGCACATCGGCTTCGCCTGTTCGGCCGACTCCTGCACGCTGGCCCCCCTCACCTCCTGGCCCTGCTGGGCGCTTGTCTCCAGGAATGTTCTAGGTCTTGGGCCCACAGGGTTCAGGACGACCTGGCCTGGCTTCAGCTTTATCTTCCGAGGTTCAATGAATTCCCTGACCCGCACGCGGACTTACACGCCTGGGAGGACGAGGCCAAGCGCTCCCCCACAACTTGGAAGGGCACTATCCGTCAGGCCCTCGAGGCATCGGTTCGTCATCAGCAGAGGGAAGCCCTTGCTGCAGCTGCTGAGCACGAGGTTTTGCCATCCGGTGGGGTTCGGGAGCCCCGCCTGCTCACGACAGTCCTGTTCACCGTCTGCGCGCTGCTGAAGCCGAGGACGCAAACGGTTTGGAAATGTTTCTGGTGCGGGGAAGGATTTAGTAAACCCAAGGGATTGAGGATGCATGTCAGCAGATGTCACCATGGTAGAATTCGCACTATACGGCGCATCCAAGGAAGCAGCACGCAGTGCCCTACATGTAGGCAGCAGTTCGCACACCGTGCAGCTTTAACGGCGCACCTGGCCTTCGACTCCGCCAAGTGCGCCCTCGGCTACTGGCTCTCCGACACGCACTGCACGCACGAGGAGGCCACCGCCTTGAACGCGGCGGAGGACAGGAGGCTCACTGCACAGAGGAAGGCGGGACAACGGAGGTGGCGCACGGAGTGTCCAGCATTCACAGGCCCTGGAGCGCGCCCCCAAGCTGTTCGAGATATTATTGAAACCCCCAGTCCCGAGCAAGCTCAAGATATCCTTATGGACGTCGACTACGCGCTTCCGCCGCCCCAGAAGAGAACAAAACACCTTAGAATGTTCATTGAATCCCCGGCTCCCGAAGGTTCAGGACCCGCTAGTGATCTTCCTCACTACTTGTACAATCCGGCAGATTCCTCAGGATTTGAGGCATCGCAGATCCCCACTAGAGTGCGGCGCAGCACGTTTTTCGCTCTCAACCTTTATTGCGCACGCAGGCGTGCATACAGTGGCACATAGAATATTCGATCGCGTCCCCCTCGATGGAGCTCGTAGTTCTTAGCGTCGACATCACTATAGACGAAGTGCGAGGCGATCTGACTCGAGACGCTACCATTCTTGAATGGGTTGAGAACATACGTTGTCATAGTGTTATCAACTCTGGGGGGGGGCCGCCATGTGAGACTTGGTCGGCTTCTCGGTGGCAAGAAGGCGCCCCCCCCCCCGCTCAGGACTGTGTCATATGTTTGGGGAGTTCCCTGGGCCACTAGACGGCAATCAGAACAGGTTCGTATCGTATCGCAGCTTTTTCAGGCCCTGGCTCGGCTTCTTGCTGAGCACCTTCGAGCAGGAACGCCTGGTTGGCTTGAGCACCCAACTTGCCCGACATGGGCCCGTGGTGCGCCGTCTTCGATTGAATGGAAACCTATGCAGGCTATTTGGTCCGCACCGTGCGCGGCCCGAACGAGATTCGACCTGTGTGAGCATCAGCCATCAGGAACGGATCCAGCAAGAGTAGGTAGAGCCCCCACTACAATTGTCTCGGTGCGTATGCCCACGCTTGCGGGCCTCCTGAAGGCCACTCCAGATCAAGGATGTTGCTCCCACGGCAAAGGGTCACACATGACCCTCCTCGGGAAATTCTCCTCGGGAGAGTTCCGTACGGCTTCGAAGAAGGCCTATCCTGGTAGCTTGCGCAGGGTGGTAGCCACTGTCATTGTAGATTCGGTCATATCTTTAGTCTCGGGCCGGGCTCCAGAGGATCCCGTCTCTCAGCACCCAGAGATCCCGCAGGAGCTAGTTTACCCCCAGGGCTCAGAAGAGATCCGAGCTGGGCTCCTGGCTTTTTTCGCTTCTCGAGCCCAGGGCCAGCCCGATGATGATGATGATGATGATGATGATGATGTGATTCCGCATGCGCCCGACTGCGCGGGTGGCCCACGGAGCCGCGGCGCCAGGACCAGAGTGGATCCTGAGCGCCGCCGCTTCCTTGACTCTGACTCGAGCGGAGACGAGGAGGCCGAGCACTCGGAGGCGACTCCGATCCAGGAGCCTCCCCAGGCCAGGGCGTCCGAAGACGACGCCGCGGCCGAGCAGGAGATCGCAGATTTGCTATTAGGCTCCCCTGAGGAGCAGGCGGCGGCCTGGCCTCTGGTCCCTTCCTCGCCTTCCTCGTCCCCGCCTCCGACCCCCCCCCGCTCCCCTCGTTCTCACCTCCTCCCAGAAGGCCAGGGTCGCCGCCAACCGCGCCGAGGCGCGGCGTCGCCGTCGAGAGAGAGGGAGAGAGAGAGGCTCGCACCCTGGGGTTTTGAGGTGCCGCCCTTTTCGATCTCTTCTCCGAGCTGGCGCCCTCGGCGCCGCCGCTCGAAGTTCAACTGCAGCAAGCACGTGAAGTTTGGCGATAAGGCCGGGCCCCACTCTTGCTCTTTCCCTCGCTCGGCCACCGAGCCCGACCGAAGCGAGCACGACCCGTCGTCGAAGCCTGCGTTGCATCAACCTCCCCCCTTCTCTTCCTCCTCCTCCTCCTCCTCCTCCTCCTCCTCCTCCTCCTCCTCCTCCTCCTCCTCCTCCTCCTCCTCCTCCCCCTCCCCCCCCTCCTCCTCCGTAGCCATTTTGGCTCAAGATGCCTAGTTCCACAGTGGAACAAGTGGATACCGCTAGTCCGCGGACAGTGCCAGGGCTCTTGAGCCCGACAGCTTTGTTCAACCCTCCGTGTGCCTCCTGCAGCCCGCAGGTGAGCTTCCTCCGTTCCTCAGCTCGTCCATGGCGCCTCCGCAGCAGCGCAGCGCCTACGTCAAATGCTACTCCTGCTCGTACGCCTGGAACTACAAGACCAACCAGACGTGCTACTGGTGCAGCAAAGCCTTGGCGCCGTGGACAGATTCCCCGCCTCCAGTTCAAGGTGCCTGGGCGGCCCGCGCCAAGGCCGCAGCCCAGGCCGACTCCAGCTGCACCCAGCAGCCCAGCCCTGAGGGTGGATGGGAACCGTGGGCTTCATGGCCCAAGTCCCGCCGCCGCCGCGGCAATGGCAATGGCAAGAACCAAGAGGACGACTGGTGGGCCAACAAGAACGACACCCCCAAGGCGCGCTCCGCGGAGGACATCCTTGCGGAGCTCCAGGCGATCGCCCCCCACATCGACAAGGCAGCCATCGATGGTATCAAGTCGCAGATCCCGCCGCCCCAGCCGCAGAAGCCAGCCGACCTCAACGACATCTACAGCCGCGCCCAGGCTACGGAGCGCCGCTGCAAGAACAACCTGGAGAGGCTGCTCGAGAGCGAGCAAAAGGCGCTCAGCTGGTACACCGAGCGCAAGGCGGCGTCGGAGGAGGCCGCCTACAAGTTGGCAGAAGCCCAGGCCGAGGCCCAAGCCGCTCTCGATGCACTCCAAGTCGCTCGCAAGGGCGGCACTGCTACTCCCACGGCCTCGCAGCAGAACCCGACGTTCAACCTCACCAGCCTCCTCGAGGACGGTGACATATCCATCGAAGCGGGTTCGGCGTTCGATCTCCAAGGCCTTGACATCGACGACAGCGACCGCCAGGCATGGGAATCCCTCCAACAGCGCTTCGCCACGGAGCTCAAGGCCAAGGTCACCGAGCTCTTCGGCAACACCGCCAGCCGCATCAGCCAGCTCCGCGCAGAGGCCAGCACCATGCGCACGCGCTTCGCCTCCAAGCGGCAGCGGTCCGACGAGGACGGTCACGCCCGAGAGGGAGGTGGACCACCGCCCGCCGCCTCGGCGGCAGCAGGCGAACCCCCAGCGGCAGCCGCAGCGGACGCTGATGGCTCTGCGGCCTCTTCGCCAGCGGCGCCGAGCGATGAGCCTCCCGCACCTGCTGCTGGCGCTACTTCTGACGGCAGCTTCGCCGCACAGCCAGTACCAGCCATCAACAAGGACCCCGACCTCGAAGACAAGGCACAAAAGATGCTCAGCCAGATGCGCAAGCCCACCGCGACCGCCGTGGCTGGAGCCCAGCAGCCTCTTTAGCCGACTACTACCCGACCCTGGACGGATTGGTGAGACGGGACGCCTACCGTCAGAGACCAAGAGCTACGACAACCCACCGATCATCAACGCAATGGACGCAGTCCTCGACCCGTTCGACGAGCTGGCCGAGTTGGACGCCCACATCGTTTTTGCAGCCACAGGGCAGTACGCTACCGCCCCGCCCGAGACGCTGTCCTCGGTTGGGGGCGATGAGGCGGCACAGGCCGTCGACGCAGTGACATGGGACCCAGGGCAGCCGCAGCGTGCCGCGCGAGCCGACCCTGATGCCGCTCCGCCCGAGACGCTGTCCTCGGTAGGGAGCGATGAGACGGCCCAAGCTGTCGACAGGCATATGGTACAGGTACCAGGGGAGCCGTTGCCAACGGCACACCCTGATGCCGCCCCGCCCAAGACGCAGTCCTTGGTAGGGGGCGATGAGATGGCGAAAGCTATCGACTTGACCGCTGCGAAAGGCCCTTGGAAGCCCAGCAGCCCGAGACCCGACCCCAGACCCGTCTACCAAGACGAAGGCCCTACGTATCCCACGCCGTCAGATCACTCCCTGTTCTTCTCCAACATTACTCAGTGGGGGCCACAGTCGGAGAAATGGCTGGCAGGGCCAGGCAAACAATATCAGATGGTGGCACTGGTTGAAACACACATCTCGCATGGTAAAGCCCCTCTTATCTACGACAAGCTAGCAGCGGATGGTTGGAGGATACCATCGACTACAGCCACGCCGACCAGCAGATCCGACGGAGGCAACACGGGTGGCGAGATTATCCTCTCCAGGTACCATGTCCAGGCCACAACCTTCAACCACCTCCGCGACCTGGCCATCTCCCAGCGCAGGCCCGACCCGTTCCGCGGCTTCACGCCCATGGTATGGCACAGACGCTCTGGCAACCTGGTTGTTATTGCAGCGCATCTGGAACCCCACAGGCAGATCGAGGGTGCAGTGCACGATAAGTTACTCTCGCTGGGAGCCTTCGTTACTATGCTCACTGACCCGTGGATCATCCTGGCCGATTGGAATATGACACCTGAGCAGCTCGCAGCAACAGAGTGGCCCGCCAAATGGAATGCTACCATCGTGCGAGCGCCTGGATCCGCCACGTGCGACAAGGGCCAGGGACTCACGCTCGACTTCGCATTGGTCAAGACTGGCATCGAGCACACGTTCTCCATTCGCCAGTGCCCCACCGTCCCCTGGGCCACCCACGTGGGCCTTGAAGTTCGAGCAGGCAGCGCAGACCCCTGGTGGTATCAGTCGGTCCATACCCCTAGGGCATTCCCCATAGTGGACAGACCTAGGACCCCACCAGACCCCAACAGCAAGACCGCCATCAAGAAACGTAAAACAGCAGAAGCTCGAGCAGCACGCCTACGCGATCTACCTCCTGAACTCCAACAAGCAGCAGCACAGCTCCAGCCACAAGACGAGCCAGCAGCACAGGAGCCTATCCCGCACGCTATCCCGAGCGACCTCTGGGAGGAACCATGGCAGCTAGCTGTACCCACACGTTGTAAGCAGCCTCACGCGCACTTCGCGTACACTCACTGGGTGCACGACGCCGGCGACCTCAACCTCAAGTACGCCAAATGGGTCACGGCGCTCGAGAACACCATGATCAGCCACCACCAGATCGACCCCAAGGAAGCCGCAGCATTCACAGGCCGATCCCAAGGCTACCAATTGTCTTGGAAGAAGACGGCCGCCGCCCCAGGCCGCGTACACGTACATGACCCTCAGTCGGAATGGTGGGCAATCACGCTCACCCTCATCAAGCGCTACGCTGCGCTTCGCGACAAGCCCAAGCATGCAGCGCTCATGCAGCAGCAGGCCTCCATCATCCAGCAGCGCGCGGACCACTTCAACACTCACTTTCACGACCTCCAGTTCGAGAAGGACGAGGGCACCATTTTCCGCTGGTTTGCACTCGTCTGGGCACCGCACTTGGACAATGAGGACACCGACGACTTGGTCACTATTACCGCTACTTGGGCCTCCAGAGCGCTCTCCGCCGCCCTCGCTAAGTCCAAGAGGGCTTACGGTGCTTGGCTCGCCAAGCAATGGAAACACCGCCCTGGAGTACTACACGCCCATGTCAAGCCTGCGCCCGTACGTCACATCGAGGCCTACACGACCAACCAGACCATCGCCGACCCCACCGTTATCATGGACAGCAAGAAGCAACAATGGCAACAAGTATGGCAGGCCACCGAGACCCCCGACGACATCCTACAGGCGCTGTCAAAGGCCAAGGCAGCAGCCGCTCGCCAACCGCTCGAGCCCATCACAGCCGAGATCGTACACCGCTTTCACGGCCGCATGCCACCCAGTAAAGCACATGGAGTTGACGCCCTTGGACCTCGCGACCTCCATCGACTACCAGAACCAGCAGTCGAAGCCTATGCGGATATCCTCAACGCAGTAGAGCATGCAGGCATCTGGCCACTACAAATCTCAGGCACTATTGCAGCCCTCGCAGCCAAGAAGTCTGGAGGCGACAGGGTCCTCGGCATGCTACCTCACATGGCCAGACTCTGGTCTCACATCAGATCGGCTGCATCTACATCCTGGACCCAAGGCCTGGACGACTTCTGGACTACAGCCATCAAAGGTCCCTCAGCTCTCCAGGCCGCCCTACACAGGGCCTTGTTAGACGAGACAGCCTCAGCACTTGGCATACAGTCAGCCACATTGCTATTAGACATCCAGAAGTTCTACGACAATATCAAGCTCGCCAACCTCATTATGGTCGGCCTCAACTGCGGCTTCCCCCCCATCATTCTACTACTGGAAGTGCAGCTATACCTGGCGCCCAGATTCTTGCGCAGTCGACAATGGGTGAGTATGCCTATCTTCGCCCCCAAAGGCATCATCGCAGGCCCCCCGCACGGCACGACCTTGGCACGACTCATATTACTTCCTATTCTACGGCAAGCCCAAGCTCAGGCAGAGCTTGCCCAGATGTGGACCTTCGTAGACGACGCTGTCCTTCGAGTCGAAGGAGTCCTACGCACACTACAGAAGCACCTCCCCCGTGCCGCCAAGACCCTCTGCGACGGTCTGAAGGAGTTCGAGCTCCCTATCTCCGACAAGACGGCCCTCATCGGCTCCACCCCCAAGGTCCGCAAATCGCTAGCCAAGAAGTTGCGGCAGTACGACATCCCAGTTACTGCGACCGCCACGGCCGTCGACCTCGGAGTTGACGCGGCTGCGGCTACTCGACGGGTACAAGCCAAAGCCAGGAAGCGACAGAGCTCAGCCGCAGCTAGGTTTCGCAAGATACACCGACTACGGAGCACTGCACAGCAGGCTCGAATCTCAGCAGGACTGTGGCGCACTGGCGCTCTCCCCGAATGAGTTTTCGGTCATCAGGTGCACGGCCTCGCCCGGCACGCTCTAAAACGATGGAGGCGTCAGGCCGCCATTGCGGCCACGGGAGCAGCAGCGGGCCGATGCCTCACCTCCCTCCTCGGCGCCACCTTCGACGGCATGGACCCAGGAGCTTCCCTAAGGATCGAATTCATCGAGGCTTGGCTTCAGCACTGGATACGCCACCCGAGCACGCGCGCCAGGATCATCAGAGCATGGCCAAGGATCAAGACCACTTTGCTCGCCGCAGGCCCCAAGCTGTGGCGCAGGGTCAAGGGGCCCACTGGCGCGGCCATCGCGACCCTGCTGGAGGCCAGCTGGGAGCCGACCTCAGCCACCACGTGGAGACGCACGAAGGACGGCTACATCGAGGAGTGGAACCTCCCCCCTGCCGATGACCCTGACCTCCTCGACGCCGACATCCACACAGTATTGCAGGACCTCAGCGAGGATTTGCACAGGCTCCTCTGGACTCAGGCCGCTACGCATGACTATGGTGACACGCTGGCTGGAGGTGCGGACATGGTCACTATCCGCATTGAACAAAGGAGGCTCCTCGCAAACGGCGATTTCAGCGACTGGGCCCTCAACAACACCGTCATCAGTGGTGGACAATGGACCAGAGACCGCCCCCACAACGCGGGCTACCAGATCGACAAGAACTGCGACCGATGCAGCGCAGGAGTTCCTGAAACCTTGTTTCACCGAATGCGGCAGTGCGAGGCGAATGTGGGGCCTGAGTTTGAGGCCAGTGACAAGCTACTACCGCGAGCCGTGGCGGGGGCCAATGTTGACCCTGCCCTGTGGCTCCGCGGCACCCCCTCTGTCGCTCTCGCTACGCCCGCGTTCGAGCCATTGACTGGGAGGGACGGGTGGGAGCTTGTTGGTGCGGTGCGGGAGGGGGTGCCGTCGTGGGAAGGTGCTCGCAACGCTGAGGGCGAGTTGTTTCTTTTTGGCGACGGGTCTGGCGGCGCCTTTTCCGACGACGTCAGGCGACGCCGTGTTGGTTCTGGCCTCGCGGCCCTCCGATGGGACCCTCCCTCGGCCTCCTGGACCCTCCACGCGGGCCCCCTCGCCCCCCTCCCAGGCCCCCGCCAGACCGTCCCAAGAGGTGAATTGCATGCGTTTTGCCTGGCACTGGAGACGTGCCAGCAGGATTTCACGTTTGCTACTGATCACCTAGCCCTGCAGCGCGGCTGGCAGAATGGCAGATGTCTCAGACCTGGCAGCCTCAGAGGCAAGAATAAGAATGGGGATCTCTGGCTGAGAATTCGGCACCTCGTGCAGGATCGATCTGGCGGCTGCTCTTCGGTCACGGTGCTCTGGACCCCATCTCACGCCGATCCCCTCACGTTGCATGGTTTCCAAAAATTTCTGGCTCTCGGCAACCAACATGCCGACGAGCTCGCGGGAAGCGCGGCCCACAAGTCGGCCACCCTTGCCCTCCCGCCCGTCCCCAGGACCGATGAATACGACGCTATTGCAGCCATCGTCCGACAGAGGGCACGACTGATCTTACGTCCTTTAGGCAAGAATTCAGAGCCTCGAGGACTGTGGCCAGAGAGGCAATCCACCCAGGAGGCAGCCCCTCGCTCTCAGTTGCAGACCGCGAGCGCGGCTTCTCAGCACAAATTCGAGCGGTGTGCAGACAAATGGAGATGCCATGCCTGCCTCATCATCGTTGACGCTTGCCACGTTATTCCAGCTGCCGCCACAGAGTGTGTGCCGCCTTGCCCCCTTCCCGAGTTCGCTGCGTGTGGAGAGGTGCTGTGGTCGAGGGGTCCCCGCGTGATCAGTGGCAAGTTGATCCACCCCTCCCACACTTTGGCCACCATCCCCAAGTGGCAATTGTTCTTCTGTGTTAAGTGCGGCCATACGGTCACGCACCAGGTTAAAAGCCTACTTTTGCCGTGCCCTCTCTCCCACCAAGTGGGAGAGCGCAGGGCCCTAGGACCCACTGGCAAAGGCCTCGAGAACCTCAGCAGGATCAGGCGAGGCCTCCACCCGTCCAGATCGGGCCCCAGCAAGTCTGTGCTAGAGGCTTTGCACGCTTCGGCAGCCGAAGCCGCGATCGGTTCCTACGCGGCGGGAGCTGCCTCCGAGTAAAGTGCGAGGCCAGGGGGGGCCTGTCGCGGTGGGCCGTGGGATGTCGCCCCCCACGGCCCTCCGAGAAATACTGGATGGCCCCCCTGGCATCTCTGGGTTCCGAACGGACTACGTCCGATTGCTCCACTCCACTCCCCCTCCTCCTCCTTCTCCTCCTCCTCCTCCTCCTCCTCCTCCTCCTCCTCCTCCTCCCCCATCCTCCTCCTCCCCCATCCTCCTCCTCCCCAATCCTCCTCCTCCTCCTCCTCCCCATCCTCCTCCTCCCCCCTCCCCCTCCCCCTCC